GTCGCGGGAGCCTTTGCTCGTTGACGGCCGCTTCCCTCTTAGAGCAGCGCTCGCCGCTCGGGAGCGTGGCAGAAAGCGTACTCGATAGCAGGGTCTTCTGCGATTTCCCCAAGCCTGCAGTTAACGCAGTACTGGAACAACAAACTAATGCTTTTAGCTGTGCGGTTCGTAGAGAACAGATCAGCTAATGAGAGTAAAGTGGAATGAAACACACTGTGGGTGAAAGCAGATGTTGCGTAGGTCTGCTACCTGGACTGTGCTAGTATGCCCTTATCTTGATTTTGATAACACTTGGGTTTAGCAATGTGGCATAGACTTAAGCTGATGAGCGTTGTTACTGGTGCTTCGTACTGCTGTGTGCTTGTCGGTTGCTTTTCAGGCCACGTTGAGCATAGCATAGCTTTAACAGTGGGGCACGCGTGCAGCTCAGCCCCTTGCATGTGCTGTCCCGCCGTGCAGGTGGGGGGCCACCTGCGCGCAAAGCCTGGTGGGCTTGTGCAGGTGAGGCATGTAGCAGGCTACGTTACAAGCACGAGATCCATTAACCACGTTTCGGACAGAAGCAGCGTTCTTGTCACTAGAGCAGCTGCCCCGAAGAGGGAACTGAACTCTCTTCTAGCTTATGCCTCATCAGCCAAATTTTAGTTATGAGCTGTTGCATGTCACTGTTATTGGTAGTGAGGCAGCAGCCCAAAAGAGCAGAGCTTGGTTCTCAAGCTGAAACTCCCTTGGAGGAGCTTGCGTTCAGGACTGGCTTGCACTTGAAATGGAAGTCGCTGAGGCACAGTAAACACGGCGGGTCTGCGGACGGGCTTTCAGAACGCGCTTGTGGTCTGCTATGGGAAGTCTCGTGACACGTTATCTCTGATGAGGTAAGTTCTTTGACTCAAAAGAACTAATATATGTCATTGTAAAGCAACTGGGATAAAAATTACAAACTGAGAATCCTGGAATATCACACTGCTTTGGACTGTGCAGAAAGTTAGTGTTACAATCTTTCTAAGAAAAGCCAAACGTGGTATTTACCTAGGGTTTTGGGGGCCTGTTTTTTTGAGGCTGTCTGCCTAGTGAATATTTCCAGAGATGCTACAAAAGCAGAACGTCCATTTTATTTCCTTCCTTATAGTTAAAACTGGAATCCAGTAGCCATCTGTTGTTAGAGACAGTCAAAAGAGGATGTTGAGGCTCTTGCTTTGAACAACCAAAGCATGCAAAGGACAACTCTTCTGTAGTGGAAAGGTCTTAAACAATACAGCAGTTACTAGGAAAAAATTGTTGTATGGGATTCGTCCAGTGGCGCTTGGATACATGGAAAGTAAGGGATTTCTCCCTTTTTAGTTGCCTAGTTATGAAGTTTCCCGCTGTTTCATAACCTTGCATTATTAATTCCAGACCGGCGGTTGTAGCTGGATAGGCATTCTCATGACCGTAGGAAAAGAAAAGGTATTCAGAGTGCTTTTAAAATAGTAGTAAAAAGGTTCAGGGTTTACAGTTTTCTGAAATTTCTAGGTTTAAAAAAAAAAAAAAAAAAGGAGGGAGGGAAATGCAGGCAGTGTGATCAGAAGTTTTTTCAAGATAAGTTTATAAGAAATTGGGGAGGATTTTATTGATTTTTTTAAATGTATATAAATGTTGTGGACTGATGTTTAAACTTAGAATAATGAATAAGCTATTTATATGGTGCTCTTGTCATCTGTGGTGATGGTGTGCCTGCTGTCTGTCGTTAACAGGTTTGTAAAAGGTTTATGTGGTGAAGAGTCCACTAAAACCAGGCATTTTGTTATGTGATGCATTTAATATGATTCTGTGAAGTGCATGCATTTCTGCTATTCAATGCAATGTCACGAAGACCACAGCACGAGCAGTTTGAGAATGAAGGCTGTTGGGGGGACCGTTGTCGTGCCTAGCCCTGGAAGGCAGTGGGATTAGTGCATCTAACTCAATTAGGTGTGTCTGAAACTTTCTGAAAGCTTGATAGATTTCCTCATTTTTGTTGTGGTTGTTGAAAGGCCAGGGCCAGAATCATGAATTTTGATCTGTGAAGTTGTATCTTCTGGTGTTAACTTTGTATGGTTTCAGTCCAAGTTCCTCTTTGCAGAATGCAAATACTTGCTGTTTTTGATACAAAGTTTCATATGATAATTAGAATCATTGCTACACTTACCTTTACATGTATGGCTTAAAAAAGAATTTTATCCACAGGCCAATGCTGCAATACTGTTACTGGTAGGAAAAAACAGCTTCTCTAGGATTCTTCTCTAAAATAATGCTCTAGCTAACGTAACCTGCCTAGTTGTTAGCTCAGTATAAGGTTCTTCCCTAAAATAGTACTGCAGTCAAAATAAGCGCTTAATCATTTGCTGTGCTTGTACAAGCAACTGGCCATTGCGCATAATACAAATGAGTGTGTTACGGTCATATACTGAGTGGAAAGTTTGCTTCAGCAGAGACTTTACAACTGTACTTTGGTGAACATATTTTGTCTGCTTTCTCTGCTCTGTTTTTAATCTGCCTAAAAGACAGTGAGTGCTTTCCTATCCCATTGAGAAACAATAGATTTAATTTGCATTTCTATCATCTATTGTACGTTTTATGTATTACTTGTGCAGAAATATCCATAGAGGAACTGCTATTCTTTAATTTCCTTATTGTCACTCAGCTTTCAGTAACAGCAAATAACTACCTTTCACTTAAGTGATCAAAGTGGCATATATATTTTGGGTATTAAACGCTGGTATTGAGATTGTTGTTTCCAAGTGTAAATTATGAAATTTTGTCACCATTTTACCGAATAAAATTATCTTTATAAATGGCAAACAGAGATAAATAAGTTTCAGAGAGTTATTCATTTAGTTACAGTTATTGCAGCATTACACTCTACAATAAATTCTTTCAGAATTGCATTAAGTTGTACCTCAATGGAAGTATTATTTTTAAGGTAACTTAGTAAAATATTATGGGATGCAAATGTGGGTCTTAGCTTCTCAAGTCGTTTGTGAGCAAAACCTCTTTCCTGTCTTGTAAGGTCTTAAACATTTTTTTCCAAAAGTCACACATCAAACCTGCTAAATGAAACTACATATGGAGTGGGAGTCTGTGATCCTAACTGGGGGTCATTTTTACATTAGAAAAAATTTTGTGACTATTAAATGGGGGGTAATAAAAATACCCAGCAGTTTTAATGTCCTCGTAGAATTTCAGAGTTTTTCCAACTGTCTTGTATCATGTATAGCCTATTTACATTTGCACTGAAGGGGATGTTAATGTTTCATGGCAGTTGCAAAGAAACACTGAAAATGAGGGTTAGTGGTACTGAGCTCAGAGTGAGGGACCTTGAGCAGTGCCACGCGCAGCCTCCAGCATTCCCAAGTTGCTAGTGCGCTCCCGAGCATGGCTTTGGCCCTTGCCAGCCGTGTTGTCTCCATGCAGCTCGCAGGCTCGTTTGGGCCAGCCAGCGTTCCCCGTAGGCTCTCTGAATGCAGTTGGTTACTTTATTTTTGGGGGACCACTCAGGACAAGAGCTATGCTGTGCTGCTTGACTCCAGGGCCAAAGAATGTTCTCTGGCCTGTTTTATCATGATATACATGTGGTCCGAGGGACTGCCTTCATCACGGCACTGCATTTGATGTTTTCTGCCTCAGTATGGACTGATGGCCCAGATTCCCTGCTTCTCAGTTGGGTGCCATAGCCCAGGCTGAGCTTGCGTTATGACTGCTAGCAGGACCTGTGCTTGCTAGCTCAGCTCTGCACTACGGTGCTAGCGCGCACTTGCACTCTTGGATAACCTCTGCTTTGAGGAACTCTCAGTTTAAATTAATTAAACAAGGAATAACTGAAAAGGAATGCATCATATGAGCAAGAACAGGCAAACATGCTCTCAGTGCCACAGTTATTTTGGGGTTGTGGGGAGCTGGTTAAATGAAAAAAAAAAAATGAATAGCAGGATCTTAGAAAATGCGGTTTATTGGAATGGTCATTAGGAAGTCATGTAGTTCCTCCCTTTCAAAAACAAAACTAAGGCCATAGGAGGAGAAGGTAAGGAGAATGGGAGCAGGGTCATAGGAGAACGTGGGTTCGAAGGGCAGTGAAAAGAAGGGGAGGAGTGTAAATACAGATGGAGTTGGGTTGTGCTGGAGAGGAAGCCGGGGCAAATGATAGTTAGTGGAGGCTAACGTGAATGGCCAGCATGGAAACAGTAATATGCAGAGCACAGTGACAGCAGCTAGAGGGAAAGCAGGCTGGTGGTATCCAGGGTGCATGAAGGCGCTTGGCCTTGCCTGTGTCTGCTGGCTAGAAATTTTCTTAGGTTGTCATGGCACTGGGTCCTCCTTGCATGGCTTGGCTCACTGAAATACATGCTTAGCACTTTGTGCCTACTTTGGGGAATCTAGCAGTGCCACCATCACTAGCTCTGGCAGCCCTTGTGCAGAGGCCTCGTGTAGAGAGAAGACTCTGCTTCCTTCTTCAGAGCAGTTGGGAATCAGATATGAGAGTTAACCTTTTCTAGAGAGAAGCCCAACATGTGACTGTTCATATTCTCCAGCTACTTGTCTCAGAAGGTTTTTGCCGTGTTTTGTTTTGTTTTTTAAATGGTTGAGTAATCATCAAAGTCCCCTTGAAGTCTGTCTGGAAAAGGAAAATGGGGAATAAAATCTCACTCCCTTATGTTCCCTGGTAAATTAGTTATTTAACTAAAGGGAGAGCCTGGTTCTTCAGGGCTTTGCCCACAAGCAGCTGCGCAAAATGTTGCCATTCTGGCTGCAGAATAAAAGCTGTCCTCATTACAGTGAGAGTTCTGTGCACCTTTTCGGTGTGGAGAGTCCTTAAGCAGTCCTCTTAGCCTAATTTCTCATGGCTCACGCTCCCACTGTCTTCTCTAGGCATTTTGGGTGTAAGAGGAAAGGAAGCCAAGCTCTACTTTAGGGCTTTTCAAATCAGCAGGATAATTTCTGGGTTCTTCCTGAGTAATAGATTTTCTGATGGATAGCTATCAAACATTTTTTTGGCATGAGCAGCCTTGGATTTAATACCCGTACCTCTGGGATAAAGAGTTTCAAAAATGTATACAATCTCTCCTATCTATAAGAAAGCTAGTTGGCAGGTAAGTCATGGGCACAGTCCTGAACAACCAACCTATTGGAGAGGAGTGCCGGTGGACTTAAAAACAAGAAGGAAAAATCACCTAAATATCCACTTGCCCAATAGCAGGTTGACTCAGCTGGAGCAAGACTCTTTTGCCAGCTATTTGTCCTCCCATTTGAATAAGTTAACGTATTAGACCTGTTCTTCTGCTAAACAAAGCGTTTTTTTTTTTTTCCCCTCTTTCTCTCTTCTTTCTTCCCCTTCCCCCAAACCCCCTGGTGATGTTTCTTTTCTTAAAAATAAATTTCATGTGCGTGGCTGACCAGGATTTGCTTCATACAAGCCAATATCATGGACAGTGCCAGAAAAAGGTCCTTTTTACTGCACAGGCTGCGGTCATTGTGTTCCGCATATAAAAGGTGCTCGAACTCCTATAAAACAATGACAGTGCCTACTTCCATGCTCATGAATTATCTGACTGCAAGGCATTTTTTTTACCTCCTTAGAGGCAAAGCAGAATTCAAATATGTGTGTGTGTTTATTTTCAGTTTTATGGTATTTCCTTTTAAGAAAGCAGCTGCAATCCAAGGGTGGAGAGGGGAATGGGGAAGAAATGCATGTGATATTCATTGCTACTTACACAGACGGTGGTTTTTTTGATTTTCTAGAGATAAATGACAGCGAGAGTCACCCAAGCAGCAGCCACCAAACCTTGAAAGGAACCTCAAAATGGGCTACATCACTGGAGAACCTCCTTGAAGATCCAGAAGGAGTTAAACGATTTAGGGTTGCTATCTTAACTATCAATGTTTCTATAAACACAAACTAGGATTTAAAGCTGAACGACTCTTAGCATAAGCAGTGCAACTGTACCAGCACCATAGGCATACATCCCACTAGATACATACAGTGAGCAGAGGTGGGAGAGTTTTGGAGCTGTGGCATTTGCTGAGTTTCTGAGGTGGTGTCTTCTGCCCATTGTCACTAGAGCTGTGCTCTCCTAAGGCACAACTTGTAGTTGCATCTTTCCAATCAAATCTGTCACCTTTTGAAAGGATTAACAAGATGCTATTAGATTAACAACAGTCCTTGAGCCGTTGATCTCTCCTGCCAAGCACTGTTTATTACTGAAGACTGATCCTGCATTCTTTGTTCTCATAAGTGGTCCTTACTCAAGCAGTAAGTTACTGCAAACTGATACTGAACCTGTACAGCTTTGTGGCTCTTATTCTGTGTTGCAACAGCTGTACTGAAGGAAATCCCTTTAACTTTACCACAATTGTGGGCTTGTGTAGCTCAAAACGCAGGCTTGAGGCTTAATTAGGTGATGTGGCAAGTCATTTTTTTCAAGGCCTTTTGTCCGAAGTCAGAGGGATTAGCTATGTGAATAGGAACTACCTACTAGAATATGGTGTTGTGGAACCAAGCCCTGAGACCGAGATGAAATGATTTCCTGCCAGACTGGTTTAAAAGTGATGTAAACCAGAATTATAAAATTCTGTGTGATTTAGCATTCTTAAAAAAAAAAAAATAAAATAAAAAAACCCACACACACACAAAAAAACACCCGAAAAAAACTTGGTACCAACACGATATTTAATCTCTAACGTTTAAAAGTGAAAACTGAGTATCTCAGAGCTATAAATATTTCAGTCGTTGCTTTTTATAAATAAGTTGAATGTACTTTTTTCTCATTTTAAAATGTGCTTTGCTTTAGAAGGATCGTGCTTTGTTTAGACACTGCTTAGAGAATGCAAATACAACTTGTGCTTTGGTTTATTTAAGTGAATTTATTGCCGATGATCATGTTTAGAAACACTTTTATTTGTAGAGTTTTTACTCATTAAAAATATCATAAAGATACTAGACTAGAATCCCAAGTGATTTGTGGCTCTCATTAAAATAGCTTGTTATACTTACCTGCTAATGAAATCTTCGTGTATTTTTGGATTTTCCCCTGAGTAATGGATTGTGAAATTGCTTGAGTTATTTAAGGGAAACTGAAGAAACTCTTCTTCTTAGTTACTGATAAGCTTTATGATTAAATGTAGCTCATTCTTCGCCTGAAATGTGCTCTTATAATGCCAAATATGTTATTGTTCGTTTGTATGCCAGAGTGTTTAGATGCTACCAATGCAGTGGTTCTGTTATAGTGTATTATGTAGACTCAAAGCAGCCTTAGGCAGGGTCTAGTTGTAATAGCTATAGTAGGACAAGAGTAAAACAACTGAGAAATTGGATCCTAACATTTAATCCATTTTTTTTTCCCCCTGCCC